ATGCGATAAATTCGGACCTTTAAAAACTGGGCGTCGTTTTTTTAACAAATCTACAAGTCAATTATGTACACGGTAATACTTAATTTATGTTTCTATCAAACATGTCTCTATATATTTCAGAATAAAGGAGTTACCATCGTAAGATAATTATGACGATATCATTAAAAAATATCTCTCAAAATGACTTACTAAATGTAAGTCATTTTAGAAAGTCGAAAAATCTGAAATTAATGCCATACAGTGCGTTATCTTCAATGACGAGTAGTATCTGATCACAAATAATTAAGCAAAACGACATGCAAACTTGATAGCTATTATTCATTAAGGTCGGTAGACTAATAAACGAAAATTTAAGCCCAATACAGACTGCATTTCCACAAAGATCCATAAAAGATGCAAAAAATGCAATTTTGAACTGTGATATGTTAAAACATGCCTAATATCTACAAGCATTCAGAAATTATGTGCCAAAAATTAAGTACGATAGACACACAAAGAGGTGAAGGAACAGCATGAAGAACAGATGAACAGGTGAGATAAAAACATAATATTCTCCTTTACATACTTAGATTGCACGTAAACGATTAAAATTTAGTTTCTTTAAAGCAGCAGTGTTCTTGTTTGATAGCGTACACAAAGAGGAAATAACAAAGGTGGGCGATTTGACCAAATTTTCAATTCAGATAAAACATTTCTAATATTCAGTTTTTGGTTTCTTTTTTCATTTCGGAATGCTATTCTAACCTGCGTATTTTCAATTTGCAAAGCAAAAATAAATTAATAATGCCTCTTACCTAAACAATAAGGAAATAATTTTGACGTTTTAATGATGCATTAAAAAAGGAAGAAATTAAATGACTTTTATTTAAACCTTGATAATATACTACTGTACATGTATGGTCAAAATTACAGCAATAAGTTTTAAGATTGGGAAGTAATTTATATGGCAAAGACATTAGCTATTTTCACAAAAAATATACATTATAGAATTGTTTGTTCGGCTACTTTCATGTTGCAAAATAATTGAAAATTTGTTTTGGCGAAATAATGAAATTAAATGGACAAATCAATTTTATTATTCGATGTTATTCAAAAGTATTGGAAAGGGTGGAATAATATTTTTAAATTGGCAAATGAGGTATAAATTAATGTAAACGTTCTGATAAAGCAAACTACTTTAAAAAACTACTATAAAAAAATACAATTTATCTGAAGATCCACTGCCCTTAAAGAGAATTATCAAAAATCTATTTCTGCAAAGGGGGTGGGGTGTTTATGGGGATGGGGAAATAACTAGAGCTAAAATCAAATACCAATACATCTGGACTTGGAATGGGGGACAATTATATATTTTCATATTTTAAAATTAATTTGAACTTAAGTAAAATGTATAATAAACAAAGGCCCAGGGGCCACATCGCACACCTGAGTACTATGGTTAGAAAAAGAGCAAAAGTCAGTATAGTATTAAAAAGCTTAAATGCATGAGTAGTCCTTATCTACCCCTAAAAGGTAAAAGGAGTTGGTACGATATGAACAAACTTGAATCTACACTCCATTGTGGCCCCACCCTATCTCCGGGGGTAATGATTTGTACAAATTTGAATCTACACTACCTGCAGATACTTCTTTATAAATATGACAAATATATAATGGCTTTGCTGTTCGTTAGAAGAAGAATCTTAAAGATTTTCCTAGTATATGCCTATGTAAAACTTTGATCAGCCATTGCGGTCCCGCCCTATACCCGGGGGTCATGAATTATACAAACTTGAATCTACACCACCTGCAAATGCTTCAATTTAAATATCACCAATCACAGCTTTGCTGTTCTTGAGAGGATTTTTTAAGGATTTTCCCTGTATATTCCTATGTAAAACATTGATCAGCCATTGTAACCCCAACCCTATCCCCCGGGGTCATGATTTGTACAAGTGTGAATCTACACCACTTGCAGATACTTCAATATAAATATCACCAATCACATCTTTGCTGTTCTTGAGAAGATTTTTAAAAATCTCCTATATATATATTCCTATTTTAAGCTTCAATCAGACATTGCGGCCCAGCCTGATCCCCGAGGTTCATGATTGTAAAAACTTCAATCAACACCAGATGCTTTCATGTGAATATCACCAATCATGGCTTTACTGTTCCTGAGTAGAAGATTTTTGAAGATTTTCCCTACATATTCCAACGTAAAACTTTGATCAGCCATTGCATTCCCGGCCTACCCTGGGTGTCATGATTTGAACAAACTTGAATTTGCACTACCTAAGGATGCTTCCGCATGAGTTTCATTTTTCCTAGCCCAGTGGTTTTTGAGAAGATTTTTTAAAAGATGCGATTAATTTTTCGCTAATTCATAATTATCTCCCTTTGGAAGAGGGCGTGGTCCTACATATGAACAAACTTGAATTTCCTTTACCCAAGATATTTTGTGGCAAGTTTGGTTAAAATTGGCCCAGTGGTTCTTGAGAAGATGAAAATGTGAAAAGTTTACGACGACAATGCAACGACGACAACGACGACTACAACGACAACAAAGACAGACAACAAACAAATTTTGATTCCCGATTTCCTTACGTACGTCATACGGATTATCAGATTACATTTATTAATCATCAGATAATTAAAATTATTTGCATGATTATAGAACGGGAATATTTATACAAAAATACTTCCATACACTTACTTTTATCATAATTATTGTTTGTACATTATTTCAAACAAAACAAAGCAAAATCCTGAATAAATTACAGATTTGAATATCTTAATGCTTGAGTTTGTTTTCTGGATGAATACCCCTATATAACTAAGTTCATTCATATTTTCAGTTAATATATGTAATACATGTAGTTGTAAAATTTTATACATACATGTACTACGTCTATGCCAAGAATATACCAAGAATGTCTTTTGTAAAAAGCTATACAGTTTCTTGTACTCATGATAAAGTGAATATTTCGAATGGTACTTTTTCTCAACCCCAGTTTTACAAAACAAATCATAATCTATTCTCTCTAGGAATAAGAGGAAAGAATAATGAAAAGAAAGTTTTCATCCCATAATCGTCACTCATAAATTAAAATCATTATTACATCAAATAAAATTAATATAAAGCTCACATTATGTCAGTTGAATTTTTTATACCGTTTTTATTTGTGACTCGTATAATACTGTAATAAGTTTTCATGTAGACTTCTAATGAATTATTACTTTCTTTTAGGTTATCCTCCCTTTTATAATACATCTCCAGCAATGAACACTATCGGTTCCACACCTAAGATCATTACCACTGGTACAGACTCCATTTTATCTTTAATTAATACTTTCAGGCCCTTATCTTTCTATATTGATTGAGAAAGAAAGCACAAACGATTTATCAGATATGTCTGGGTATACCAGGCCTATCCTAATATTTACAAAAAGAAAATTGACAGCAAGTATTAATAAATAGAGCTTTCTAGATAAAAGGTAAATTTGATAGCATATTTTGGGTTGAGTTATGACGGGGGGTATTTTTCTCAAGAAATAAACAAAAATTGGGCAACATGCTAGTTAATTGACCTTATCGGGAAATAGGGAAATAACGGAAAAATCCTTCATCAATGCAGTGTGTAAATATAAGACTAGCAATTTGTATGTAAAACGTAAGTCAGCATTTAACTTAATGATGAATTGTATCTGCCGACAAGGTCATTGTATTGACCAGAGAACTTACGAAGTAATGACCTTATACAAGACTGCTGATATTCTTCTTTTATCAACTTGTTTGTCAATAATAACTAGGTATTAGAAATTATAAATATGTAGAGCATGTACTTACTTACATGTATCGAATCAGCTGGAAGATATTATCCCGTATGCAGATGAGGAAGGTATATTGCTGCATAAGTATGTAAAATTGACGATTAGAAAGTGTAGCTTTTCATACATTACATTGAGCTTGGTTGTGATATTTCCGTTAACGTCTTTTTGAAGTAAAATTATTTAAATATAAAACAGATGTGTCAGACTCTGTTGTATATTTAATATGAAGATCACTGGAATATATCCTATGGATATAAGAAGGGAAATTTAAATTCTTGACAATACATTGTCCATATATCTAAATGACGATTTGAAGGCCACAGCAACTGTTTTCTTCTTTTTACGTTTAATATTTTGGACACATTCTGCTTCATATTATGACAAAAATAGGTGTGCTTATCATGGGGCGCGATTGCTACCGATAGGAATTCTAATAGATTGTTCGAAAACATTGTCTTAAATAAATATTGTCAATCAGAAAGTCAGCATCTTTTTGATTTTAACTTCTAAGTAATTGTGTATACAATCAGAATTTTTTAAAAATAAAATTATTTTGCAAATGACGAATGATATGGTAAGAAAATTTACGAGTTTCATTTATACTGAAAAAAGTAGCTGTCAATTATATTTTAAAAAGCCTGGACTTTAATCATTCGAAGCGTATTAGTCTGTATAAAGTTCAAAAGTCGTAAGATTTGAAGCTTTTGAATTTGGTACATATTTTGTTTCCAAAAGTTCTCTAGAAAATTATTCCCTTAATTATTGATATTTTAGAAAGTTAAAGCATTAATGATAGTGGATGACAAAAGAAAATTTCAGGTAAGTGTCTCTAAATATCAGCCATCTACGTTTGAATGTTACAGGCGAGGAGTACTGTAAAATTGTTGACATATGACTGTTGAATTAAAGAAATCTCTTGACAATATTGTGTGAAATCTCACTCCTGGATTTGACAAGATATATGATTTTTGTAATCTTAATAGTATATATAGCCTCAAACGCTTTTTTTCCACCAGATATTTTATGAGATTAACAGGCATCTATTTTATATAAAGGAATGATTTCAGAACGTCGATATTTGAGAAAATGATAACTTACGGAATATAAATCAATTTATGTTCCTCTGTTATTATGCAAGACCGAAGCCAAGTCAACTGAGCTAGTTTTTTGATGGATTAAAATTAAAATAACAACAGTAGTGAAATTGAAAAATTGTCATTTATTGAAGTAAATGACGCAAAACAAAATATAAACATATTATAAGGGGGTCAGACAAGACTAGAACAAACTTTGAAAGAATACAAAAATCTTTGGTAACATATTATGCAATCTGACCCCCTAAAATTACATATATCATAAAGCAGGCACTGATATGCCTGTCATCAAAAAAGGGTGGGTAAAAAGAAAATAAACGCCAAACAAATAAATATGAACACTAATATAAGTACATATATAACAAATATAATATAAGACGGTGGAAGAGAGGGGGTTGGATGGAGGGTTTTTCGATAAAAAATTTCCTTGCAAATTTGTGTGGCTTTCTCCTTTGGTAAAAAATAAAACAATGGTCACGTGATTAGGAGAAGCCACGCTGATTGGCTGTAAATTAAGACAATGGTGTCATAGATTAAAATTAGGTAATTGATCCCGATCTAAAAAGTTATAAACATGAAACAACTTTACAATTACCAAGTAAAACATGATACCTTAGAAATAAATTATAACAAATAAAACAATTATAGTTAATATAACTCTGTCACATAAAGGATATTATTATTGTAATAATAATAACTTATTTATGTTCCTCTGTTATTATGCAAGACCGAAGCCAAGTCAACTGAGCTAGTTTTTTGATGGATTAAAATTAAAATAACAACAGTAGTGAAATTGAAAAATTGTCATTTATTGAAGTAAATGACGCAAAACAAAATATAAACATATTATAAGGGGGTCAGACAAGACTAGAACAAACTTTGAAAGAATACAAAAATCTTTGGTAACATATTATGCAATCTGACCCCCTAAAATTACATATATCATAAAGCAGGCACTGATATGCCTGTCATCAAAAAAGGGTGGGTAAAAAGAAAATAAACGCCACAATCCAATTGCAAATTGGATCCACCCACCCAAGGCGACTTGGCAAGGCGCAATTTATAATTTGAGACGATTTTTTATAGTACATATAACGTTCATGTCAAATAATAAATTAGAAAAGAAACACATGAGTATCAAAAATGACAATAAAATACAACCTTAGGTAATGAACAATAGTTCAATATAAAACATTTTGTTATTTGACATTGAGAGCATGTGGTGGCCAGCAAGGAAAATATATTCAATATACCCTTTACAAAATGACTATATCCTATGCCTATGACTATATACCTATGATGATATGTACAAATATAAAAAGACTGAAAAATATGTCAGCAGAAGACTTCTGAACTGACATGCTGAATAATAACTTTTAGGCAGCAGAAGACTTCTGAACTGCCATGTATTCCTAAAAAATTATGGATAGGACTTGGGAATAAAATACAGCAGAAAACTTCTGAACTGTCTCCTATACTATGACTGATCCAAATATGAGCAGCAGACAACTTTCCTCTGCTCTTCAAAGTCTATGTGGTTATTTGTGACAGCAGAATACTTCTGAACCGTCTTAAAGTTTTAAAACTTATTGACATGGGGAACTAACACAGGGATATGCACTGAAATCTGAACTTGTACAATTAGCTATATATGAAAAGACTGAATACGGATGTAGTGTTTAAAAGCATCAGAATTCCACCTTCCAAGCTTCTGAATGACATTGTCTGAGAAACCAAGTGAGGCTGCATGTGTTGCTGCCCCAATTCTGAAACTGTGTCCCTTAAATTGATCTGGACTTAATCCAATAAACTGAATTGCTGCTTTGAGGTGGGAAGTAACAACCGAGTAAGTAATCGGCAAGCCATCCATAGTCTGGAACAGTGGACCGGATGAATGTTTGTACAAGGCAAGGTATTTATACAATGCCTGAACGGGACAGTAAAGAGAATTGGGACAAGCTTGTAAGGAAATGATTATTGGGACATGATGTTTGTTTGTTTTATAATCTCTCATAACTATTTGAACTCCCTCTAATAGATTATTTTCTTGCTTGAATGTGATATCTGACCTTTGTAAAACACTATTTACAGCATTCATTGATTTTGCTGTTATCTCACCTAATCTGAGAAAAGCATGAAAAGCTAACAAGAAAAGTGCTCGCAACAGGAGTCTGAGCGAGTATTGAGACACAGTGTGTTCTAAAGCAACAATGAGTTTTTGTAAGATCGGTGCCGTGATAGGCAAGCGTGTGTCCCTCCTTGAGCCTACTGCCTGACACCCTTTAAGAATTTTCTTGGTCACAAAAGCTTGAGTAGGGTCTGGGATACTACATAATTTATGCATAAAACTGATAGCTGATATGTGGGAAAAAATTGTACTGGGTGAATAATTTTGAAGAAATAGATGACCTATAAAGTTACAAACATCTGTCACAGACACTGGAAGTGAGATGTGAGGGTTCCAGGTAAGGAGCAAATTCCAACTTCTGCGATAAGCTTTAGAGGTTGATGATGACAGAGACGATTCTAGTAGTTTCAGGCAAACTGGATTCAAATTGTTAAGAGGTCCTTGGGAACTTCTGTCTGTACTGGACTGAGATGAGGAGCTATCTGGAAGGCTTCCTGCAAAAACTTGATCTAACAGAGTCCCCAAAACTGGTGTTGAACTTGACACACTGCTTGTCGGCTGCTGAGCTGAAAGTTGCTGAGCTGAAGGCTGCTGAGCTGAAGGTTGTTGAGATGAAGGACCTGGTACTGAAGATGATTGTGGATCTGCTGTAGATTTTGGTAATGTGTCAGATGAATGAGAAGTAGCTGCTGGAACTGAAGGGGCCTCTTGAGGTTGAACACTTAGTCCATTGTGTGCATGTGATTGTTTTAGAATAGCTGTAGCTAACTTGTCATAGTCGATATTTAAGATTTCATTTTGCACAGGTGGTTCCACAGGTGGCAGTTGTAGTGTTACGGCTTCACTAACATCTGTGCCAGTGGGTTGGATTGTCTTCCGCCTTTTGGTGGTTGTGGGAGCGGAGGACTTCTGTCCCCTCTTTGGAGGCATGGCTGTACACCTGAACAAAAAAGCATATGAAAGCAATTAAAAAATATTTCATGAAATAATTCTTAAATGTCCAAACTGCCCCAGCAGAACAACTTTATAAATTTTTATATACACATGTATATATCTATATATAGCATTAGATACATGTGACCATGTACACATTACAAATGTAAAAAGTAAACAGCTTCAATGCTGCAAAATATTAATTTTGATTAAAGAGAGGGTAAGGGATAAACATTATATAAATGTTATTATCATACCCAATAATATAAAAACTGAAAATAGATCACCAAAGGAGAATTTAAAGCTAGTCTGACCCAATTTTTAAGATATTATTTTTCGGCTAGTTTAACATAGTAGAAGATTACAAACTAATACAAAGACAAGAAGCTATACTTCATAGAAATATTTTATGTAGATGTTGCGTGTGGTCCCGCAACAGTTGAATATGAATATATCCATTAACAGAAATATATTCAGTAAACAGTATTGTCTTATGTGGATGCTACACACGATTAAGACCAACATGAACAAATATTGAAATAAAGTGTGCTTGATCCTTCATAAAGGAAAAAGTGCATATGAAAATAAAATAGTTTATATCATATTACTATGTTGTTGCGTATGGCCCCGCAACATTAAACAGTAACAAACAATTAATACATGTGCAGTCATAAAATGATAATGCGTATGGTCCCGCAACATCACCACAGAATCAACTGCAAATAGTGTACATGAAAACAGTTGTGTAACGTGTATGGCCCCACAATACAACAACCAAATAAGCATGTCTTAGGTGGTATGGTCCCGCACCAAAGGAAAATGCACATACAACAATACACTCGTACAAGATGAAGCGTATGGTCCCGCAACATCCAAAGTAAGCATTCCGTAATGTGTATGGTCCCACAATACAAAGAGAAGTTGCTTACAAAGTGTATATACAGGAGTAAATAAATGCCTACTCCAATCAAGTTTATCTATAAAGCTGAATTAAATTTACTCCAAAAACAAACTAACTGACTAATCATCATCATGTATCAGTTATATAAGGCACGTACAGCAATAAAATTTAAAGTTTATGACATAAACAAATGCAATGCATGCACCCATTGACTTGTGACTAGTAAATCACCGAATATTGGGGTGAATTCTTAATCAAAAGGACATGTCAAGTAAATCACTGTTTGTACTTAATTATAATATATCGCTATGTATATGAAAGACAATTGAAAACAAGGTCAGACTAGCAAATTTAAGCAGAATGATACTGGCCTGAAATGTGCCTATGCTGTAAGATAGCTGAGCGAACACTTCGCCAAAACCGGTGCATAGGAGAGGTGGTCACAACATGGGATGACTGGGAGGGGCATCGGAGATGAACCCCATCCTGACACAGAAATGTCAAATCTGTCCAGAAGCCTCTATGAGGCCAGAAATGCACACCCGAAATGTTTGAGCACTGTTCCCGGAGCATGACATTTATGGCGATGATGCGTTCGTTGAAGTCCGGTGACGAGGCCCAAGGTTGGCGGCGCAGAAGTTGACCCACAATAACTGTTTGTATGCCTATTCCGGAATGTAGATACGATGCTAAAGATAGAATGTCACGTACAATCATTTCATTGGTATGCAAAAGAATGTCGTTTTCCCCAATCTGCATAAAACACACGTGCGGCAACATATCAAAAGTCAAGAAGTCTCTGGAACGAGCGACGCTCGAGATCCGTAGACCACCACGGGCCCGCACTGAAACACTGTAAAAATCCTGATGCAACTTTAAGTTCATTAAATCTGGATGCGAGTCCATATATCGCCGTAAACGAGTTACAAACGAATGTCCAAGTAAACAAATCCTGAGGAAATTCGGCTCTTCCATGTTGTGACACAAGTTCTCCCCAAACCGGTTCAAACCGGATCGCGCACCTTACGTAAACAAACAAAGTCACTTATCGAAACTTATCAAAACCCTTATCCTGTGGAGAAATATCCAGCAAATCACACTGAAAACTAAGCACATCGAAGGTAGAAAGGTGTTACCCTACCTAAGTTGCGTGAAACAAACTGGAAATACTTTTTTTCGATAAAAAATTTCCTTGCAAATTTGTGTGGCTTTCTCCTTTGGTAAAAAATAAAACAATGGTCACGTGATTAGGAGAAGCCACGCTGATTGGCTGTAAATTAAGACAATGGTGTCATAGATTAAAATTAGGTAATTGATCCCGATCTAAAAAGTTATAAACATGAAACAACTTTACAATTACCAAGTAAAACATGATACCTTAGAAATAAATTATAACAAATAAAACAATTATAGTTAATATAACTCTGTCACATAAAGGATATTATTATTGTAATAATAATAACTTATTTTTTTCAATTATGATCAATGCTTCATAGAAATCTGAAGAATTTGTTTTATCTCACATTGCTTGATCCATTGTGAATTGGGAGGTACAAAACCGATGAAGTACACAAACTGATCAAGTACCTGTGCCTTTAGAAGTTTGAATTTCGTAATTTGAATTAACATTTTAAAAACGTGAAGTTTTGAAAACACTTTTTTTAATATAAGAACAACCGTGAAACTTAAAAGCTAGTAAAAAAAACTTCAAATATGGGAGCGATATAATGAAGACAATTCATAAACAAGTGACTGAACAATTAAAAAAAGATGTAATTTTATACAATGCACCTTTTCAGCTTCAAATGATTACCAAGGGCTTTTGGCTGGAGTGATTATATTTGTGATCTTGGTCATCATATTATCCGGAATCGTCATCTTTCTCGCTGTACTTATCATTAAAACTCAAGAAAGGTACAAATGATAATGAATCCTTATTGATGAAAATATAAATTTGTGCAACGTACTATTTTTCTTAAAGTTATTTAAATTATTAAAGTATTTATTTTCACTTATAAAGCTCCTTTTTCCTGAACATGTATTTACACTTCCATTTCAGTTTGACATAATGCAACTCCATGACAATACAAATGAATGCCTGCCCAACAATTTAAAATGTTGCAACAAACAGCCATTCAAATTCATCATATAACCCTTTAAATTCAGACCAAGCTTATGATCAAACTGAAAAACGCCATGAAGAACAAGTCAACGTTTCTGAGTACTTCGTTGTTACTTCGAAATACTGAAAACTTTTCTACATTGAATATTCTTAATCATAAATATATTGATTACATTCAATGTATCTTATTTAGATTTTTTTCCAGAATACAATATCCTGACGTCAATAGTGATACTTTGACAAAAAATGCAAAGCCTGTTGCAACAACAAGTCGTTCAACTTCAGCCTATACGACTTTAAATCCATAGCAAACTAATCTACAAGAACATCAATACACAGAATTATACAGCTCCTCATCTGATTACTTTGAAATAGCTTGAACAATGTATGAAAATTATTATTAAATGCAAGAGAAACATCTTGTAAAACTTGCACGATGACACGATGATAGCTACAAAATTATAACGTTCTTTAAACTAAAGTGAAACACAAATTAACAGTATGTTTTTATTTAAGAATGATAATAAAAACAAACAGTAAACATTTAAAAATACAAATCAATTGCAGAGCAAAGATAGACCTCTAAAACATCAGATGTGTTATCAGGTGCCATGGATTGATTGATTGTATACCGTTTAACGTCCTTCTCCAGAATATTTCACTGATATGGAGACGTCATCATTGCCGGTGAGGGGCTGCAAATTTAAGCCTTTGCTCGGCACTTACGGCCTTTGAGCAGGGAGGGATTTTTATCGTGCCACACCTGCTGTGACACGGGGCCTCAGTTTATACGGTCTCATCCGAAGGACTGCCCCATTTAGTCGCCTTTTACGACAAGCAAGGAGGTACTGAGGACCTATTCTAACCCGGATCCCCATGGAGCCAGGTGCCATGGAGGAATAAGCACTCCCCGGCTTCCCTCCACACCCGCAGTGTGCCTCTTGTCATGATCGGGAAATAACGGAAATATTCATAATCAAATCGGTGTGTTAATATGGAATTACAAGTATAAACAACGTCAATCAGCATTTGGCTTAATGCAAGATTGAATATGATGACAACGTAATTGTATCGACCATAGAAAAACTTACAAAACGATTGCTGATATTCCTGGCCCGTCAACTTGATTTTCAATAACTCTATCCTACATTCTAAATAAAAAAATCAACTGTTAATTTATATATAAAGAGAGGGGTATAATATTTTATAAAATGTTAGTTTAAGCAAATCTTCTGAAATGATAGGATAGATTATATCACAAATATATGATGCATATATAATTTATGTGAAAAAAATTCTAACATGCCCGGGGGTCTATATTGGGGGGGGGGGGGGGGGGGGGGGCTGTCCTCAAGCACGAACCCTTTCACTGAAAAAAAGTCTGTAATATAAGACGTATTTGAAAGTGATATCTGTTGGTATTTCATGTGTATCCTTTCTACGATACGAAAATGGCCAGAAAGAAGTATCAAATAACAACAATTATTAGAATAATAATTGTATTTATGTATTGAATGCGATAACTTAGTTGGAGGTTTCCGATAGGATTAATTTTGGTAAAATGTGAAAATTCTTAGATCCACGCCTTGGTTGATGAATTACGTGTGATAGAAGGTGTAAGGTCACGTGGTCAGCTAAGCGAGTCATTTATTTGTATTGTGATAACCCGCATGCTGACCACGCTAATCTGAAGCACGTCTATTTTGAAGATTTGTTACAGCGTCTGTGATTGTTTAACTTAGCTGAACGTGCCCTGGCTTTCTGTCGAGATGAAATTCCAAAGAATTGAAAGGAACAAAATATTGTCCGTGTTATAAAGTGCCGTTTACAAGAACGTGTGGATTTTCTGGTTTATTGTTTAGTGATGCGGTGGTACATAATATGTGCGCGGGTTATCATATATATTACCAGATTACTGTATGATACATTTGGTGCAATTTTCTGCCGATATGAACTTGATTTATGAGCAGATATTCATGAGAAGAACATATTTTATGGAGCTACTTTATTGCGACATCAGACGTGGAACTTTTTCCTACAGTCTGAGTTTTGAAAGGATTTCAAAGTAAGCTATTTGTTACTGGTTGAACGAAACAAATGGATACCTTTAATGATTATTATCTCTATACCGATCTCCATGATCAGTGGACACAGAGTTTGATCAACAAAATGTTGTGATAGATAACGAACATCCTGCAAGTATCTGCCGCAAGCATCGCTATTTCACAGCTGGGGCCACAGCGGGAGACCCTGAACCTCAACGACTTGGGCGTTTTTAGGTCCAGCCGGCGTACACCTGTGCTGCTTCTCCGCGTGCATAAGAGAGTTTGCCTTCCCGTGTAATTGAGGACGAAGGCCAGTATTATGTTTACTAAATATAAGTGATTTACAATTATACATAACGCGTTTGGGGTTTCCCAAATAGTTTTTCTGTACAAGTTATCACTTTCAAATCATATATACTCTATCATGCTCTATGGTGTAAGCTTTTAAGTTAGCAACGTTATGCAAAGTTATTTAGTTTCGTTGAACTACAAGAATTACCTATCATAGTTTGCATATTTCAAGTTTTTGCATTCAACATGATGTAAAACAGCTAGGCAACATGGTTAAGACACTGTCCCTCCTTAACAGGCATCTGAGAGGTAATGTCAGCTATCTTGTACAGTTAGTTGAGAAATGTGTATTGTAATCATGTTCATACAGGTACCAATATCTCATTTTCACTCTTGGGAGTTTAAAGGGTTGTGGACTAAGCTTTATATACATAGTTCAAATAGTTACTATACTTTGGTATTTCTTGAATTGCCCGTTATTGTTTGATCAGTTTTGGTACAAAGTTTATAGGTAACATTTCATGTTTTGTATATTGATAAATATTGAATGAATATTGAACATGTAATATGTAGTCAAAATATATGTACTAAATTGGTTGGTGTAGACAATATTTACATAATTACTCAAGATTTTTATCATTTCGGTACATAGTGGATAATTTATGTACTTATTGGATTGGTGTTGTTGATGGTTTAAACTGTTGATACAAAGTTGATACTTGCAAATTGAATCAGTGTTACTCATGTGGTTGATTATTTTAGTACATTGTACAAAGTTTATAATTATGTACTAATGGGGTCAGTATTACTCTTTCAAGTTTATGGGTTTGATAAAAAGTTGATATGTAGCTATTTGATCAGTGTTGCTTAAGTTGTTTATTGTTTGGGTACAAGGTTTTACCTATTGAGTCAAAGTTAATCATTGGCATAAATTGTTTATTGGTTTGGTATACAGTAGATAGGTACTTATTGGGTCAGAGTTACCCATATTGTTTGTACACACAGTCGATCTTTACTTATTGGATCATAGTTACCTTTGTTGTTTATTGTCTGGTACACAGTAGATTTGTACCTTTTGGGTCAGTATACCCATATTGTTTTGGTGCACAATATTTGTACTTGTGGGTTAGTATACCCACATTGTTTTGGTACACAGTAGAATGTACCTTTTGGGTCAGTATACCCAAATTTGTTTGGTTTTGGTACACAGTAGATTTGTACCCTTTGGGTCAGTATACCCAAATTTGTTTGGTTTTTGTACACAGTAGATTTGTACCTTTTGGGTCAGTATACCCAAATTTGTTTGGTTTTGGTACACAGTAGATTTGTACCTTCTGGGTCAGTATACCCAAATTTGTTTGGTTTTGGTACACAGTAGATTTGTACCTTCTGGGTCAGTATACCCAAATTTGTTTGGTTTTGGTACACAGTAGATTTGTACCTTCTGGGTCAGTATACCCAAATTTGTTTGGTTTGGTACACAGTAGATTTGTACCTTCTGGGTCAGTATACCCAAATTTGTTTGGTTTTGGTACACAGTAGATTTGTACCTTTTGGGTCAGTATACCCAAATTTGTTTGGTTTTGGTACACAGTAGATTTGTACCTTCTGGGTCAGTATACCCAAATTTGTTTGGTTTTGGTACACAGTAGATTTGTACCTTCTGGGTCAGTATACCCATATTGTTTTTTTTTGTTGGATGCTCATACTGACAATCAATTGGCGTCGTATGAAGCTGTTCGGTTTATTGTTGGGTCGATGTTACACACATTGTTAATTGTTGGGTCTCAGTTACTTATATTGTTTATTGTTTGGGTCGGAGTTACCGATATTGTTTTATTGTTGGATGCTCATACTGACAATCAATTGGCGTCGTATGAAGCTTTTCGGTTCATTGTTGGGTCGATGTTACCCATATTTTTTTTGTTGGGTCGGAGTTACTTATATTGTTTATTGTTTGGGTCGGACTTGTCCATATTGTCTCTTGTTGGTCAGAGTTACCTT